AAGTGAATGAATTAATAAATTAATACTAACATATTGGCATATCTAAAATTTTAGAATTTCAAAAGTAACATTATATCACATTAAAGATAATTGTTGTTATCTTGTTTTAACTATAAAAAAATATAAATATAAAGAAAGAAAATATAATAATAATAAAAAATATAATAAAATATAATAAGATATATGTATAGTAATAAGATATATGTAATATAATAAAACATATTAGAATAATAAGATATATCTAAAAATTGTGCGTCTCTTAAGTTCATATACAATAAATAATTTGAATCAGTACTACTTACGACCCGGGCACGTCAAGGTTTTGTACTTTACTTTTGTTTTAAGCCCGTTTTATAAAATCTACAGTCTTGGGTCCAGTACTTGGTTAATTGCGTTGATTGTCTATGTTTTTTACTTATACAGAAAAAAGATTTATGTAATAGATAGTCTGTATATTGGGATAGTTTTTATGTACTTGGCGTATGTTTTTTCTTTTGTAAAGATATACTACAACTTAATTACAAGTAAAAAAAACGTATTTTTTACATAAAAAATAAGCCTCAAAGCAAAGCCCGCACTACAGTATGCTGCTTGCAAACTAATAACACGTTATAAACTTGTGACAAAAACAACGATTACGCTTATAACGTGATAATAAGGTTTTTTGCGTGCGTTCTACTAATTCCAATAATTTCTTTAGCACAGTACCTAATAGCTGATATCAGCCAGGGGACGCAATTAAGCGCAGGGACGGAATTTGGGCCCCTTTCCCTAAACATAAATATTTTATAATATATGAAATCATACTAAAAAGTAATTTTATATATAAATTTATGTTTGCGTTGGTAAAGATCCGAATGATAACTACTGTAATTTATTTAGTTCATTTAAATACAATAGTCTGCATTCTCTTACGTCACTTTTATCAATATGAATGAGGGCCAATTTTAAATGTATAAGACACACATATATAAACTCGTAACAGTCGGCTCATATACATATATGAATATAAAAACAATTGTTTCTTGAACTTTGAAACTCTCAAAAATGCGTCATCATCGAGCAAACTTCACACCTGCACGAACGAATCAGTCAGGCTTATTTACGTGTTAAGCTTTCATAAAAAAGCAAGTGCTGTGGTTTGATTCTTGAACATCGTAGATCAAAAGTAAAGTGACTTTATTGAAATGTGTTTTTAATTAATAATAATATAAGTTTTTAATAAGTTGAATTTCTCGGTACTTACTATCTAATTATGATTTATAGGCAACTTTAATTAACATGACTAACGATGCTAATACATTTATACCGGCTTTTTACTCTCATCGAAGCATATTCATAACTGGTGGTACAGGCTTCTTAGGTAAATGTTTATGTGAAAAATTACTAAGATCTTGTCCGGACATTAAAGAAATATTTCTGCTAATACGGCCAAAAAAAGGATTAACCATCAACGATAGGCTCAAAACTATGTTGAATAATAAGCTTTTTGATACGTTACGGAACGAGCAGCCATGTAGTTTCGATAAACTCACTCCTATAAGCGGAGACGTAAGTGCTAAAGACTTGGGATTGTTGCCGAACGACAGACAATTATTGATCAAAAAAGTATCGATAATTTTCCATGTTGCGGCTACCGTGCGCTTTGATGAGAGCCTCAGAGATGCGATTTTTACCAACTTGCGATCAACGCGTGACGTTTGTATTATGGCTCAATCCATGAAAAATATAGTAGTAAGTTATTTTATCTATATATTGTTTGGCAAGTAAATTTTGCACGCCTACTAGAACAAAATTCTAATGATACTGTAATATTTAATTTACATAAAAAATTCATTGAAAAAGGGTCTGCTTTATGTGAGCTCGACGTATACACAAAGCGACAAATTCGAAGTAGACGAAGTCTTGTATCCCACGGAAGTCGACTGGAGGCAAACGATCAAGATTGCTGAGTCTGTCGATGAGAATATTTTGAAGATATTTACAGCGAAGTAAACTCTACAATTGTATTACAAATTGTGCACCTGCACACAAGATACACACGTTGTGTCGTGTATAATACAGGATGTCCCACCTAACTTGAGCATCTTAAATATCTCGCTTATTTTTGATGATATGAGGATGTCGAAAAAAGTCATTATTGAGTTCGAGAAGACAAATATTGTAATAAACAAGAACTTTTTGGATTCGTCTTGACCTTGCCTATCATATCACAAGGATAAAAATATGTAATTTCAGATTAAAAAAATGACAATAACCTTAAAATCCTAAAAAAATATGACCTTGAGACAAATTTCTTGTTTATTACAGTATTTGTCTCCTCGAACTGAATAATGACTCTTTCGACCTCCTATCGTACAAAATAAGCGAGATATTTAAAATGCTCAAATTAGATGGGACACCCTGTATATTGCCATTTGTCAAAATACGTTCACTACTGTTTATTGATTTTTACAGATACATAGGAACACTGGCAAATACCTATGTTTTTACAAAAAAATTAGCCGAGAAAGCAATAAGCGACCATTCCAAGTCATTGCCTTGCGTTATTTTAAGACCGTCTATAGTTATATCATCAGTCGAGGAGCCTGTACAAGGTTGGATTGATAATTTTAACGGTCCAATAGGCATGTTACTCGGCGGAGGGACTGGACTGTTACGCGTGATTTATGCGGATTCTAGTATAATTTCCGACTACATTCCGGTAGATTTAGTAATCAAAGCAATGTTAATCGTACTTTGGAAACGCGGAATACAAAGGTATGTACATAATAAAACGGCTCATTAGTACCTGACATATTCTCACAATCACTGGCGAAAGTGCGGTAAACTTCATAATATTTTCTAAGTATCTCTGAGGACAACAGCCTTCATATTTACAATTCCTCTGTGAACAATCATAAGAGCGTAAGCCTAGAAGAGATGATACACACAGGATTTCGTGCCTTGTGTGATATTCCTTTAGAACACACAATTTGGAAACCGAATACGATTATAGCAAAAAATCGTTTGCTATATTACGTATTGACGTTGATATTACAAGTTTTACCGGCATTATTCATAGATGCCATATTGAAAATAATCGGTGTACGTCCGATGTAAGTTCCATTTAAAATCCATTTTATTACATGCCATTATTTTCAAAAAATTATTAAATTTGAGATTTTTGAAATATAAGTTTCTTTAATTGTGACATATTATTCGAATCATTTAGGCTATTGAGATTGCAACAAAAAGTGTATGTGGCAAACAATGCTTTATCATTTTTTCTGGTTAATTCCTGGAACTTTAATAATTCAAAGTTACTAAGCATATTTGAAAATCTGAGCGCTGATAATGACAAGGAATTTGGATATAAATCAAGTTTGAATGTTACTATTGAACAATTTATGAGGTGCGTATGAGAGCTCACGTGTGTAAGTATATTATGTACGCAATCAGCAGAAAACATCCACTTTGTCTACAAAATTATTTTCTACTCAAAAATTATAATAATATAATTGATCATTATTTTCTCTATTAATAATAATTATAGTAATTATTGAGTACAGGGTCCGATGACCTTGACCTTGACATATGTTGTAAAGGGCACTCTCCTGAGTAGTGTTTAAGAGGTTTTAGGCGCGCTCAGTTTTTATTAAAAACATATTCATAAAAAATATAATCAGAAAAATGACCGTTACAAAACCATTAAGAGTTGTAATTTTCGTGGTGTAAACGTGTAGACAGGGAGGGCTCCTCTCCTTTCCCTGCTCTCCCCTCGAGGAAAAATAGGAAATAACTTCTAATTAAGTGTCGCTAAAAATCATGTACGTACTATCATACGTACATACTATCGACATGAAGCGACATGTAATCAAAAGTTATTTCTTATTTTTCCTCGAGGGGAGCAGGGGAAAAGGCGGAGCCCCCTCTCCCTGTTTACACGTTTACAACATAAACATAGTACGTGAATGTTTCTTCTGAATGGTTACATATTTACCACCTTCACTGTTTAGTGTTTCTTATACCTATGAATTCTCACGCGTTCTTGCTTATTACATCGAAGTTCTATATATAAATAATTTAACGTACTTGTAATATTTTCCTTGTAAATCCTCTATGTATAAAAATATGCATATTTAGACAGTATACATAAACAGTATACGTAATCTCAATACAACTTTTTAAGATCATAATTTTTTAATGAAGAACGAGCGACGGCTAAAACCTTTCGATTGTTATTCAGGGACATGTCCTTGACAAAATATGTCAAAGTTAAGGTCAAACCATAATCCCCTATACTTAATAATTACCATAATTATTATTATAAATTCTAAATAAAAATATAATAATTTATTATTATAAATTAATAATTCTATTTTAAGACAAAAAACCAGACAGCCTGTGGTCCAGGTTGAAGGTAGTTTTTATTTATTTATTTACAGTTCTCATGGTCTTATTAATTGACCTTTTATTTATTCTTTTGACTTTTACATTTTTATACTTTGACTTTTATTTATATTCACTTTTTTCTTTTTTTGACTCAAAATTTTATTGCACTTACTGATTAACTTCATAATATTTATTCTTATTTATCTGATTTTTCGGTATAGATCTTCGATACATACACATCATACTTTGATGTTTAGCATGTCTATGTTATCTGTTTTGCTTCGTTTTACTTGCCGGTGTGCATTAAGCGGTCTTTGATGACTAGTCGAGCTAGGTGCGTACACATTTATTTAAATTGTATGTTTAATGTACGTGTTCTTCTATCTAACGGATATTTTTCATATTTTTATATTTTTTCTATTTTTATAATTTTATATTCTTATATTAGTATTTAAATTGTAAATAGCTGAAAATAATCACCAATAAAAATTGATCAAAACGTCCGGAATAGGGAAAGGGATCTAAATTTCGTCTCTGTCTCCACCTAATTGCGTTCCCTGGCTGATATCAGCTATTAGGTACTGTCATATGCTACAAATTATTGAAATTAGTAGAACGCACGCAAAAAAACCTTATTATCACGTTATAAGCGTAATCGTTGTTTTTGTCGCAAGTTTATAACGTGTGAGTGGTTTGTTGTTTTAAGCAGCATACTGTAATGCAAGCTTTAGTTTGAGGCTTGTTTTTTATATAAAAAATTTTATGTAAAAAACGTCTCTTTTACTTGCAATTTTGTGCAGTTGTAGTATATAACTTCTATTTTAATGTCACAAAGTGATAATCTCATTGTGTCACAAGTAAAATAACATTTAATAAAAATGTAAAATGTAACTCTAAACTGTTCCATATTTTGTCCTCAGTATCTTTAGCTTTGCCATATATATTTTATAACATAAATATAATATTTATTTTATAATATATATTTTATAATAATATTAAAATAATAAAACTTGCAATTTTTTTCTTTATAGAATAAAGCAGTTTCCAGTGATTTCTGCGTATTCTTATAACTACGAACTGTGTATTTTACTTAAGATTTTTACTTTTTGCACGTAAAATTATATTTTTATAGATAATAGCATTTTTGGGAGAAACATTTTAATAAATCATACTGACAGTTTCAACTTTTTTTTAGATAAATCAAAAAAGGACGAAATTAGGAACACTTTTGAAAACGTCAAAAATGCATCTCTTACACATTTTAATTTTTTTCTCTTTTTGTATGAAAGATTTTGAAACAAGGATTATGGGATTTATACTAGAGAGTTTGAGCTACGCATACAAATTTTTTTAAGTCGAGCCATTAATTACAGTCTGAATAAGAAACAAAAAACTTTAGAGGGACGAAATTACTGCGTTTTATGTTGCATTTGAACATCCATCTTTAACTTAGACCACAGGCTCTCTGGTTTTTTGTCTTATAATTATTTTATCGAGTTGTTATTATAATATTAATAATTAATTTTCTATTTCAGAAATGGCATTATCGGTTCTAAGATATACTTACTCAATGAAGACATGAGTCGCTTAGAACAAGCCAGACGTCATAACAAAAGGTAAGGTTAATATTGGATAATTAGAGTGAGTTCTATTCTGCAAAATTTTTTTTTACAAATTTCGACTCCATATTAATTCTCCGTTTGTTGAAAAACGTTAATATTCTTTATGTAAGACATTCAGGTAAAATATTGGCATATAACACTTTCTGATAGGAACGTTTCACGTAAAGAGAAAAGAGACTTCACGTCGTGAGATTATGGGTGCGGTAAAAGTCTCACTGCAACTGTTTCGAAGCATCATACTATCTTTATTCTACATTTAACGAAAAATAAAGATAGAACGATGCTTCGAAACATTTGCAGTGAGGTTAAGACCGTACCCTACGTGCGATGTTTGGTCGATTGTGAACGTCGTTAAGTAAACTTTAGGTAACGTGAAAACTGCTAGCAACTGGTGATAATTTTCATGAGCTGTACTGCCAGTCAATCAACTTTTAGAAGCTTGTTAATTTTAGATTTACATAGAAATGCTAGACGCTTGTCAGACATTTTGTTCAAATTTTGATAAATTATGACAATAAATTTAGAAATTAATGCTTTGCAGCAAAGTAAAGAAACTCACAGATTATACACTTTTTAATTTATTCAGAAGGAAAAATCAACATTGTATATCTATCAGGTTGCGCGCCATAAAATTGCACAACTTTGAATTTGATTTATCTTGCTGCATTTAATAAGAAATGACACAGCTAGTTCGATTACCGCACGTGGTGTAATATAAGCACTGTTGACGTAAATTCTACGTGAATGATATTGCATTTTAATATTTTTATGACCCATATACGTCATTAAATAAGTTTGAACTGTTAACTGACATGTAGTAGTCTAAAAACATTTATACCGCAATAAATACGCGCTTGCAGTTTAATAGGTTATTTGACGGTAATATTTAAAAACTCTGAAACTTTATGAAAACGATAGCTTAGATGATAAGAACACTCAATCAGATAAATTTGCATATTAAAGGCGACTTCATCGATTTCAATGATCTTAACATATATTGTTAAGGACATGTCCCTGAGTAATGATCTAAAGGTTTTAGTCGTCGCTCATTGTTTATTAAACAGTTATGAACAAAACAATTTTCTTAAATAAACTTTCGTTTTTTGATACTATGTATATTTGAGAAGTAAATATTTCGTTTGTACCACACACTATCGTACACGTGTAGGCGAGAAAGGAGCTCTGTTCCTCTCCTTGCGCTCCCAAAAGTATAAAAACAAGACTATTTTTTTATAAAATATAAAAGAGAGTGACCTCCGGTTCCGGTTAAAAAATTAATGAGATGATAGAAAGGCGAATTCCGTGTCAATAATTGTGATGTCGTTATAATTAATGGATTGTTTAATACTTTATTAAGATTCCACTGAAGATGGCTTAAATATATAGCCGAAACATTTGGAATATTGATATATATTATTGTTTATTACATTCCACCTTGTACTTGGTTCCAATTGCCCTTTTATCATCTCATTACCTATTTTTTAAATTTTTATTTTTTTGTTTGTGTTGTAAGCGTGTAAATAAGGAGGGGGAGAGCTACGTCCCTCGCCCTAACAAAAATGAGAAGTTTTATAAGCGTTTATTTGACGTTTGTATGAGCGTTTTGCGGAAATTCGGTGAAAGTTTTGAAACGGTCAGTAGAGAAATTCATAGGGCGGAAATTGCAACGCTACAGCGTTTGAAAGGCGTTTGTATAAAGCGTTTCTGAAAGTTTGCATAGTGTTTACGTTAAGCGTGAAAAACAAAATAGTTTATTAAGTTAAATACATCTAAAAATTCAACAAAAGAATTTTTCGCGACTTGCGCTTTCACACAGCTAAGAGATTTCACTTGAATTAATTTTTGGAAGCCCGGTTTAGCTCGCCAATCAACCGATAAATTTCATTAAAAGAGACCGGACCTGAAAAAATCCTAAGATAATAGCGGGATTCGAACTCGAGACGCCTCCGTCGTATTCGCAAGCACCTACACTCAGTCCGCAAGACTACTTGTTCCTTACTAAAATGTGATTATTTTTATCTACTTATTCTCAAGCTATCTTATACAATTCATTTATTATTTCTTTAAAATATTATTTTATTAAAAATATTGCAGTGCAATGTACCTGCAATGGGTAAAAATATTTTTCTCTTTCTTATTATTATTAAATATGATTTAAAGTACATTTTTACAACGCGACCAACTTTTTGGTCTCAAATAATGCTATATTTAAATCAAATATAGTCTGTTACAGTTATGTTAAAAATTGATTTCTTCATTAACTAATGCTTTATTTAATGAAAAAAATTTAATAAAACATTATTTCATTGAAATAAATTATTTCAAGCACTTATATTATTTCCTTCATATTATGATTTAATATAACGTAACAATACAAAGTTTCATTCAACAAAATTGTTGTTTGGTATAAAATTATATTATTTGAATGCAACAAATATGA